TAGGGATAACCTGCTCGTGCCATCCCAAGTAACTTTTAAATTCCCACTCAGGCAACTCACGGGAAGGCTCAAATTTCTTCCCATAATATTGCTCCACAACACTTCTAAACTTCTCAATTCCCCAGGAGCTGATCAAATATTTCATTCTACTGTATTTACGATCATCTCTCCTCCCATTTTCTCGTTGAGTGACAACAATAGCTTTCACTGCATATAGAATGTCTTCTTTTGGTACATAACCCAATGGTTCTGCCAACCGAGGAAAAGTGGTCTCTAGCCTATGAGTTCTTCCCATACCACCACCAACCTGCATCACATCAGAAATTGTAAGAAACAAAAAGCTGTGGGCAATTAAGAAGAAAAGAGAGGAATGTTTCAGTTTATGTTAAGCTAATCTTACATATAAATTAAACCCCTGAGGTTCCCCATCAGCATCAGTAACAACAACCACACCAACGTCATTTGTGAGAAGGTCCACAGAGTTGTCTGTTGGCACAGTGACTGCGATTTTGAACTTCCTAGGCAAGAATTGAGTTCCATAGATGGGCTCTGGTGAATCAGGAAAATTGGTTCCATGAGAATTGTCATTGCGGGCCTTCACTACCTCTGGAGGCTCTGCCGACATTATTTTCTCTCCATCCACCCACATATCATAGTAGAAACCAGACTGGGGAGTTAGAAGTGCAGCAATATCATCAGCGGTTTGCTGTGCAAATTGGTAATCTTTTCTTGCAAATGGAGCAGCAGGGGCCAAAACATTCCTGTTAAGATCACCGCATGCACCAAGAGTTGAACCCATGCTATGGATAATGCTGCTCATCACAGTCTTGAGGTTCTTCTTTAGAACACCGTGGAGCTGAAATGTTTGCCTGGTTGTCAATCGAAGTGTTCCGATTCCAAACTGATCAGCAAGATCATCCATGGTCAAGTACAATTTGTTCGGGACTTTCCCACATGGATTCTTTGTACGAAGCATAAAAGAGTAAGATCTTGCCCCTCGTTCATCTCTGTTATACTGCTGATAGCTTCCATGGAACTTGATTATTTGTGTAGCAGACTCATTAATGTTCGGGGCATCTGTGAGCAACTCCTCATTAAGAGGGTACCTGATAAAATTGCTGTGTTCTTTGATTATCTCGACCTTGCTACGCTTAGTTTCAGTCTCCGGCTTTACTGGCTGCCCACAAAAATTGTGCAAGTTATAAAACATGAAAACTAAACTAGACAAACTCTATCACTAATAATCAAAATCGAGGTTATTTTTATCAAGAAACTGCCTTTGCAGCCTAGCCTTACAATTTTTTATTGTTCCAAAATAAATATAAAATGTTAATGTTCATTACCGAACTCAATCTAATTAAGTTAAATCAGAAGCATTTCAATTTCCTGGGTTCTAGACACCTTTCTTATTCTCCCAAATCTACTCAGCACAGCACATTTAATAAGAACATCAACAATCATGAAACAATTCTGAGTACACTTTCATTTTTTTTTAGAAAAAAGTCATATAGAACAGACACCAGATTGAAATAAATGAAATAATATCACCCTTTACTTTTGACGTTATTTCTTTCCCCTGCATCCAAACAGAGCACGAGATTAAAAAAAGCAGCTTTTGATAAAAAAAAAATTAAAAAAAAAAAACCAAACAAATCGAAACTGATATGCCTGTGCTAGTAATTAAATCAGCTTTCTTTTCTCGCATTTCCCTCTTTAGCCTTCCTAAACAGAGAACAAATCCAAACACAAAAGAAAACAACTTCGGAAACTTAAAGCAGGGAGAGAGGCGGGGAGATTGATTGCTTGACGTAATCTAACCGTGGAGACAGCTCTGATAAGCGGATTGGGTCTGGGAATTGAAACTGAAAACAAATTGACATGTCTCCTGCTCAAACCAACTGAATTCCTACTCCTCAATCCATCATAACTCCCTATCTGAATCTTCTTCCCCTCCTTCAAAACTGCACTATGAACTGCTCCATACGACGTCGCCGTCGTCATCCTCCTATCTCTCTTATCTCAAACAAAAAAACTAAACCCTGGATAACAAAAAAAAACAAGTAGCAGAGAAGCAGGGAGATTGATAATTTGTGGAGACTGGTGAGCACAGAAGATAGATCAAGCTGACGGCGAGAGCCTTAAAAATTAAAACTGTGAGTAGTTATTTTATTTTATTTTATTTTTTTTAACACTATCTGATATTTGCTATCGTGCGCTGTCGCGTGCGTGACACGAGTGTCTTCTTAACTTGTGACTCTGACGTACCCCCACGAGCTTCTAGTCCACACTCTGGCCGCTGTACGGGGAATTGAACGTTGAAGGGCCGGGCCGGGAGTGTGGTAAGGAGCGCGTGGGAGTGTAAGAGACAGACATGCAGCAAAACCAAAGTTGGATTCTATGGTGCATTGAACGTGGACGGGATTAGGTTGGTTTCGTGCTAATAATAAAAATATATAGTCAATTAGGACTGGTGTTTAGATGCTAAAATATAGCAAGAAAAACTCCTCTAATAATCAAAAGAGGTTCGGAGCCGAGCTACTTAAAAGTTTTTTTATTTCTTCTTTTTTTTTTTTGAACCAGTCAAATTAAAGTTTTTATTTTTTTATAGGACAGCCATCCGGCTAGGCTAATTTACAAGTTCTATAATTAATTTTCAGACTCATTAAATATATTTAAAAAATCTATTATAATTAATTTTCAAATTCATTAAATATTTTATAAGTTTAATAAATAAATAAAATATCATTAAAATAATATATATATATATATATATAAAAAGTCGAATTCAAACACTAAAAGAAGTGAAGTCCCTCCATAACCACTGGATTATGGCATGAAGTCATTAAAGTTTTTTTTTGCTAGTGGGTGTTTTGTTTTTTAAAAAAACGCAGAAAAATAATAATTATTATTTTATAAATTTAATGACAAAAGAGTGGATCATGGACAGTGATTTTTATTGATATTATTAGTTTTATCTTGATGAAGTTCTTTTAATAATGCAAAAAATATAATTATAAAAGTTTTAGTATCTCTTCGAGTCTCATTAATTTCTTTTCTTTTTTTTCAGTGGAGTTCATGCAGTCCATCTGTATGTATTTTTTAAGAAGTTGAACTTCCCAACGGGCGACATTTAAAATAATGGTAATGCGAGTTATGATTTTTATAAAACTATGCCGTTTCTAAAAAGTAATTCCATGGTTTGCCAAAAAAATAAAAAAGGTAAACTATCCATTAGCAAAATAAATATTTAGATGTATTTCAATTATAAAAAATATTTTAAGCAAATGGCATGGAAGGAAATTTTATAAGTATACTTTATGTCGCTGTCAACGTGCTGTTTTGTCATTTCAAAAGCTTATTTATCTTTGAATTTAATAATTGTTATTTTTTAAAATTTATTTTTATTTCATCATATTAAAACAATTTAAAAAACACTAAAAAATAAAAAAGGAGGGCTTTAACCTTGGCCAATGTACCTGAACTCCTTTTACCAGCAATTATGCAATTGACTCTCACATGAATCTGCCATTTGCAAAGCATACGCTTTCATATATGAAAAGTGTGCTTGCATTGTTCTTCATTTGCACTTCTGTTTCGTGTGTGTATTCTTCTAATTTATTCTTGTTTTCAGTTTCATCTCTTTATATTATTTTATTTAGTTTTTATATTATATTTATCTGGTACTCTTTTTTATATATATTTTATTTTATTTTATTTTTTAATTTCATCCCTCATTGTTTTATTTCATTTAATTTTTAAGTCATATTTTATTCTTATTCTTTTAATTATTATTTTTTTAAGCTAGAATGATTAAGAATTTTTTTTTTTGTTATTGAATAAAATTATTGAGATATTTTAAGAATATATGGTATCCTTTTTATAATATTAATAATTTTTTATTAGTTGGTTTTTTAATTATAGTTGACTTTTTTATTTTTATATTATTCAATTAATCAAATTTATTGAATCAAATAATTTGGAACTTAAATTTTTCTTTTAAAAAAAACATCTTTTATATATATACCAAAATAATTTAACCCAAGGTGGAGAAGGGACGGCAGGAAGGAACTAATAGTTTAGCAAATCAAGCCTGTAGAGATCTTAGACGCTATTACACGTAATAATATCAATTAGAATACTATCACTGACTTGCTCGGTGCTTGAGATTTTTTAAATAAATTTTTTTGATAAAATTAGTATTATTCGATATCAACATAAATTCTTGCAGTATTATTTTTTTTCATTTCCTTAATTTCGTTAGAAATTAAGGTTAAAGTCGAGATGAGCTTGAAAGGGGAACGTGGCATGTTCTGAATGGTCAAGATCTTGATCAAGTTTGACCTTGGTCATTAACTTTAAAAGAAAATGGAAGAGGAATTGAATGGAACAATTAACTATGTCCTATAATTCAAATCTCATGCATTCTAACTTTTTTACAGGATGGGTTGCGTGTTCTTAAGACTTTGTTCTTGATTTGAGTTTGGAAGCTTCACATTTAACGAGCTGGGCAACACCTTTTTGGCATTCAGCACCTTGCTGAATTTGTAAATCACATGGTGTCCGGTTTCCAGATATACCTCGAGACAAGAACAATGCCTGTAAAGTTTCAGGCTAATCAGGCCGGGGTGACGTCTAGCCTACATATTCCATTAGAAGAGATTGAGAACCAGGGCAAACAGGGCAGAGCACGAACAGCGATTGTAAGGATGTTGACATGGATGATGATACAAAACCTGTGAACTCGTTCAGGCGTTACTCTTGTTCGAGGAAAAGTATAGGCGATCACAGAATAAAGAATGCAACATCTTATCCTCCAACTTCTGCTGAAAATAGAGACCATGCTTTGTGCTAAATAAGATTTTGATACCGCCTCTAAGGAGAGAGTAGGCAAAATAAACAAATCAACTCTTAACTTTCTTAGTCCAAATAAGATAGTCATCCAACAAACACAACCACGAAAAATAAAAATAACAAAAAAACACAGACAAACAAACAAAAGAAAAGGAGAACAAAAAGACATCCACGTAATAATCGAAAGTGGTCGTTTCTGACATGAACAGGACATGGAAGCCTAATTGATGATGGCATATTTACAAACACATGTTGCGGTCTATCCTTGCCAACCCTTCTCTACCATTTTGTGTGCCTCTTCTCATGCAACTATCCCCCATGACAAACAAATTCTGAACATATCAAGGACACTACGACTATTCCTACCTATTCAAAAGGTCCTAAGAAATAAAACAAGAAAAAAAATAAAGTGAGAACAACTTCATAGACCAAACAATAATGGCTGGTTTTTTCTCCACTGACTGAGCTTTTGGAGTTGTCTACCCTCAAGTGGCTGCCTGCAATGATCCATCCCTCCTTAAAGTAATGCTCAGATTGTTAAATCTTTCCCGTGAATATTGCCTTGAGGCTTTTCTCCAGTCTGTACCAGCCTTCATCATCGTGGCAAACTCCTCATAACTTATGCGCCCATCCTGCAGGGTCAAATTAAGAGGTTATCCTTCCAATTTAGCAACAATCATAGGATGATAAGAGATGCACAAAACTCGGAAACATTCTGAGTGTTATACACAATAGTGATATCAAGATACAAACATCAGTAACCAATTCTGTCATTCTCATTCTATCATCCATAGCAGAGAGGGAAAAGCATTCAGATCATATGGAGTCAAGCTGAAGGGAGAGATACGTCTGATATGCATTTGTTTACACCAAGCAAAGGCAATCAGCCTGAGAAGGTCCAACAGTGAATCATGATTTGAGGAAGATAGACACGGTGAGTATTGATAATAAAACAAGCTGCTCAATTGCTCTTAACATGGAAAACTTTCATCACATCACAATCCTGGTGAAAAATGCATCATAATTGACCAATGGCATTTCCAGGCAACAGAACGAGACGAGCAAACTAACAACAAGCATACTGCAAACTGATGGCTTCATGACTGAGAAAGCCCCGAAGGCTCGTTTTTGTAATTAATTTACATCTATATACAATAAATACATAAATAACGCTAACCTTGTCTGTGTCAACATCATGCATAATGGCATTGATAACATCCTCATTATTCGTGTCAACATCATCATTCAAGGATTCTCGCAACTCTTCGATCTCAATGTAACCGCTCTGGTTTCGATCAAAAAATGCAAAAGCTTTATGCAGGTGTTCGTCATTGCCCATTTTTTTAATGTGAACTGAAATTGCAACAAACTCTCCATAATTTAGAGCGCCATCACCATCAACATCAGCCTGTAAAATCCATAGAAAATTCAAGGGACAAATTTTGCATGAATTTCATTACGATATTCTACCGGTATAACAGAATCTATCCTTTTCCCTCTCAGAAAGGAAATATTTTCTGCCACTAAGGCAAATATGCTTACAGCTTCCATAAGGATTTGAAGATCTGCATCAGCAATATTTTGGCCAAGCTTTTGTAACCCAACCCTAAGCTCCTCAAGGTTAATGCTGCCTCTTTTGCCAGTGTCCATCATATCAAAGGCCTCCTTTATGCCAGCTACTTCCTCCACCGACAAGTGTTCAGCTATAACCTGCAGATGGACAGCTCAAAATGTCACTCTTTTTTTTTGCGAAGAGGAATAGAGGATGCAGGATTGTTGGGGATTGAGGAATCGTATAGATGTGCACTGCACAGCCATAATTTAGTGAATAATATTAGTTCCCATGGAAAAAGTTTTCATCATAATTTAAGAATCATTACCCTCAGGGCTCTTTTCTTGAGCTTATTCATCACAGAAAACTGTTTGAGTCTTGCTCTCACAGTCTCACCGAGTGGGACATTTGGAGCCTTCTTTGCATTTTGTATCCAAGGATGCTCTGCAAACAAAAGGCCAGTATAAATTTGCATGTTAACATATAAGCATGCAACTAGATAGCAGACATTGGATTAATAGAAGAAAGAACTACCGAGCACTTGCTGAGCAGTAAGCCTTAGCTTTGGATCAGGATTAAGCATTTTCTTCACAAGATCCTTCGCATTATCAGAAACTCTAGGCCAAGGATCCCTCTTGAAATCAATGAAAGAGCGAATAATTGCCTGCGCTACCCCTTGCTCAGTTTCTGCATGGCCAAGAAAATAAATTCTCTGAGAAGACGATTTTAAAAACAAGCAGCAGAAACCGCATGCAGATAACTATCATGCCCTTTAGGATCATAACAGAAAAAGGGTGAGAATCCACAATGGTTCCATGGGCTAATTAGCTTTCTTTAATAATTTTTTATCCATCTTAAATTAAAGACCATAAAACCATCCAGAAACACTCATTGAACAAACAAGCAAGATAATTAGACAATCAAATCAGGAAAACAACCTGCCCAGAAAGGAGGGACACCACAAAGTAATATATAAAGAATGACTCCAGCACTCCAGACATCAACTTCAGGGCCGTAGTTGCGCCTTAGAATCTCTGGAGCCATGTAATAAGGACTTCCAACTATCTCATTAAATCTCTCACCTGTAGAGAAGAAACGGAATCTTCAGACAGAATAGCAGATGTAAGAATGACATAGATCATGGCTGATGCTTAATTTCAAGAAATATTAACAAAAAGCCATTTAATGTGCTGAGGGAGGCAATTGGCTCAGATACAATGCAATACCAGGTTTGAAGAAGACTGACAATCCAAAATCAATTGCCTTCAACACAGCGGTTTCCTTCTTATTTGCAAATAGGAAGTTCTCTGGTTTGAGATCTCGGTGCATGACTCCATGCTTATGGCACATCTACAGAGCAAATGCATGCAAAAGAAAATCCAATTATTTCAAATGACAAAAAGGCCTGAATATGAAGCACCATCAGCCAATAATGGAGAACTTATGAAAATCATTTGAAGTAATTAAACCAAATAACTAAATGATATGATGCTTTCTTGAAACTTCTGTTACTGCAAATACAATGCAGAAATAGAAAATTCCAATTGTAAATGATCCTGTATTCATAAACATCTAAAAGCTGGCAGGCTAAAACAATAAATTTATAGAAAAGGAAGTAAATAAAGAAACCTAAGAATTTACATATCCTATCAAAAGGATTGAAATGCAAATCAAAATGGAAAAGACACTGGCTATCCGGGAACTTTAATATTAACTCGTTTGTGGTAAAGTATTGATGAAATCAACTGGTTTCCATGTTAAGCCATTATCAGCATAAGGAAGCATATCTTAAAAGTGGGTATTTTAAGCCTAATGAAGAAGAAGGGTAAAAATTAACAGTACACACCAAACATCAAACTACCAAGGGATCCATCATCACCATCATTTTAATTCAAAAGACTATCAGGAAAATCCTTGGTCCCATCAAGCTCGAGATGGTAGCGTCATCTCATACTGAAAATCTATAACAAAGCAATAAACTATACTTGCAACAAACCAACCAAAAGAAATAGGACACAATCAGAACACCAACCTGAACAACTTCCACAATAGTTCGCATAACTGCAGCAGCTGCTCTTTCTGTGTAATGCCCCCTCGCTACAATCCTATCGAACAACTCTCCTCCCTCACACAATTCCATCACAATGTGCACTGCAGTATCATCCTCATAACTAGCCTTTAAGGTCACGATATTTGGATGAGAAGGCAAATGCTTCATTATCTCCACCTCCCTCCTCACGTCATCAATATCCACAGCAGTCCTCAGCTTCTTCTTTGATATGGACTTGCAGGCAAACTTGTCACCAGAGTTTACATCGGTGCACAAATATGTAATACCAAACTCACCACGGCCAAGCTCACGACCCAGATCATAATGCGCTAAAATATCCCTGCCAGTGGGTTCTTTCAGGACCCAAAGCTTGTCTGCATTTCCGGATCCATTGGCTACGGGATAACTATCACCAAAGAATGGATTTTGCTTCTTCTTTTTACCTTTGACTTTCTTCTCGGAGGAAGAAGCTCCGGAAGGGGTAACACAGCAATTACCCATGGATCAAGATCTCTATCTCAAACTTTCAACTTTTCCAAAGAATGACGATCTGCAAAGATTTCAAGAATACCCAGTAAAGCAAAACAAAAGGTTAACGTTTTTATATCCGTCTGCAGCGAACACAAGTAACAAAATCACTGTATAAATATTATTTTGCTTCCAAGTAAAAAGGTCAACATTTTTTAAGGAATAAAAAACTCCATGAAAGTCTGAACCTTTTGGTACAAATCTTTGAATCTGAAAGAAACCCAGAAACAAAATTGAGAACAAATTTTTGTTCGACACGGAGAAAAGCAGATTCAGGCAACAAGTATTCACGAAAGACTACCTAATATGGCATACACCAAATTTGGTAATAAAATAAGCAAACACATCTGCATGGCATAACATAATTTTCAGAAGAGATCAAGAAACCACAAAAATCAAGAAAATTTACAGCACAAAATAGTGACATGTTAGATTACAAAAGTGGGAGAAAAAACCACCTTGTAATGCTGTTGGTTTGGAGACTTGAAAGGAGAATCTGAAGAATACCCAGATGAGCTTATATAGCTGATTAATTAAAAATTAATGCAAGAAAGTAATAATGTGAACAGGAAGACAAAAAGGTTTTAAACGTATGAAGGATGATGAGGTAGACAGAGAGCGAGTAGAGTCAAGAAGCTCTTTTGTATTTTTTTCTTTTCCCCTTTTTCTTTTTAATCTTGCAGAGACTATCCTCCCTCTATCTAATTTTTTTCTCTCTTTCTCTGTCTTAACGTTGGATTCAACGAAGGCAGAGAAACAGCAACCACTTTTGCCTTTTCTTGCTTTTTCTATTACTATTAAAAAAATATGCCAACAAACCTCAGGTACCCAGAAAACAAAACACCGACCTAAACTAAAGGCTCTGTTTTTTTTTTTAATATATATATATAAAGTTGTTTTTCTTATATAATTTCGTTTGGTAATGCGTGATTTTATAAAAATATTTTTTATTTAAAATAATATATTCTTTTATTTTTAACATAATTATATCAAAATTATAAAAAAACTTTAAAAAATACTAATTTAATATTTTTAAAGAAAAAACACTCTGAGAACTGTTTTAAAAAACAGATTAAACACATTACTAATAAATAGAGAGGTGTTTTTACGGAGGTTTTTTTTAATTCTTGATATCAAAGTATTAAAATTATAAAAAATATATTTGGAAAGCATCATTTCTTTAAGCGAAGCTCGAAAACTACTTTAAAACATATAAATTACATTTCTAAAAAAAAAGTTTGTAAAAAGATATTTTCAAGTTAAACTTTTAATATTAGATAAATAAAACATTCTATAATTCTTGACAGGATAAATTAATTTGGAATGCAGCAATAATTGTTTAAAATAGTTGTTTTATATTTTTATATTGTTTTTATTGAAATCAAAAACAATTTTCAAAAATAAAAAAATTATTTCAATATATTTTTAAATAAAAAATAAAACTATATCATAATTTATTTTTGTTCTGAAAAGGGGACGTCTACGTTAATCCAGAGCCATGTATTTATTGTACTTTTAAAGTATGGAGTCTGACCTAATCATATTCAGAATCTGATCATCGGTCAAAATTCTGTAATCTACTTTGGATTTTTGTAAATGGTATCAACTTAGGATGTTACTGTTTATCTCCGAGGCCTGCAATGATAGAGACCTCTTGAGGGTAACTTATCTTGTATTTTTATGATTTCTTTTTACTCTTTTAGTTCTGCCACGATCAGTCAGTTTCATCATGATGATGTCCTTAATGGCACCCGCAATTTCCTTAAAATATTTAATTTTTTTATATTTTTAGATTATTTTAAAGTATTATTTTTAAAAATAAAAAGGTATTATCTCAAATTTATTTCTAAACAAAAAAAACAAACATAAGAAATTATCTGGTGGTGAGATTAGGTGCAGACGTAGACCCTACATTTTTTGGTGTTGAAGAAATAATGAGAGGCCATTACTGGAAGCCTCTGTTCGAGCAACATTATCCTAACCTAAATGATTTCAATGGACAGCAGGCCACCCCTTCGTCTGTCCCTCTCATGCAATCGGCACAAAATGCCTGTCCGTCTAGCCATTCTTGGACTCTAGCTGTGGAATCCGTTTTCAATGAGATTCACAGAGAATAATGCTCATATTGTTGAGAATACAGATTATATACGATCAATTAGCCCTTCTCCTGGTTGGTTCTCCTGTGGGTGACAGAGCTCATGCACCGAACAGACATGATGCAACGAGAAAAGGCTGCTGCTGCACACTTCCTAACCAGGAGGTGTGCTCAAGAATGGTCCCTGTATGCTTGTTATTCTCGCTTTTCAGCTACATGCCGATCGATTTCTTTACCCTTTTACTTTTTCATGGACCCCCTTGATCATGCAAGACTTTCCAGGCTAATTAAATGGTTTTAATCTGGACATCTGTAGCAGCAAGCCATGAACCAGTGAAATAATATGCATGGATGATAAACAGAGTAATCAGAGCCCAGCATTCCGGTGCGGTCAGTAGATGCCGACAAAATATAAAAATAAAATACTATGGCTTTTGACCACACTCAAAAGCCTAAGGATGTGTGCAGTGAAGCAGCTGGGATAGACTTGGTTCGGATTTAAATCAGCTCATACATAAACATGGACCTTAACTTCTTCTCGGAATTAAGGACACCGTTGACATTAGCAGTAAAGTATTCATCAAATGTAATTTAAAAATGATATTTATTCTATCAGTGATTGCAAGTAATGTAACATGCTGCAGGGATTCACGTTATCTTCCTGTTAATTAGCAGCCATGTGCAAATCCATCCTTTAGCTGAAAATACACCAAGCTATCCAGACCTCCATGTATGTATCTTCAATTTCCAGTTCATCATCATTAATTGATCTAGAGCCTCAAAGCTACTCCTCTGGAAATCCTTGGAGGGGTTATTGTAGTCTTAAAAAATCTCTGAACACAAACCTTATCGATTGATTCGTTGATAAGATACTTTGAGGTTTGAACCGAACACCATGGATCTGTGTTAGATACTGTGCTTCCATAATATTGAAAATACACATAAAATCAAAACCATAGTGCCCTGGAATTTAGTGTTTGCAATTTAGACCAACCTGCAGCTAGTTTTTCTCCATAACACAAGTAAAAAATGTGGGTATATATTATATAATAATATAAATTATATTTTTAAATATTATTTAATAATTTAAATTATGGGGTTAAGATATTTTTTGACATAATACTAGAATCTTGATGATTAAATAGTCATGAGTTTAAATATTATCATTTTTATTTTATTTAATAAAAATTAAATACAAGATAATACGAGGTTATATAAGTTTTAAGTTTAAAAAGTTTTTATTTAAAAAAATATGTTATAAATTATATTTTAAAAATATTTTTTTATAATATTTCTGATTTATTAGGATTTATTCATCCATGATTATTTGTTAGGAGGACAGTTTTTCATGACAGATTCAATATACACACAAATATCCACGGAGGACAGTTTTTCATGACAGATTCAATACACAAATATCCATGACAGAGAAGGTTTTTTTAATAAAAATATCGTATTTCAAGTGAAAAAACATATACTTTCAATTTGATAGAGAAGATTTTTTTTTTATAGAAGGGAATTTAAGTTTGATTCTAAATTTGTTAACACAGACCAAACAACCGACGCTCATAATCTTAATAATGGAGGTCAAATACAGGACGATAAGAAAAAGTAACGGGGGAGAGGTAATTAAGGCACCTGAAGATGATGATTGTTCCAATAAAATAAAAATCTATCATTGCTTTGCCTGTGCAATTTCATTAATTTAACAAGTAGAAAAAAGAAAATTAAAAGAAAAATTGTTGGGTGCTTCCAAACTTAGAGTTTGTTTATTAAGTGTATTATAGTTGTTTTTTAAATAAATTTTTATTAAAATATATAATAATAATAATGATATTTTTTAATTTTTAAAAATTATTTTTAATATTAGAATCTAAAATAATTTTAAAACATTTAAAATATATTAATTTAAAATAAAAAAAAAATTATTTTTTAAAAAAACAAACACACCCTTTTGGTCAGTGTGCTAGAAATATCAAGTCGCTGGCAAAAGAAATCTATCGTGCCTATAAATGGAAAAGGACTGAAAATACCTTTTTATTACGAATGAAAAGCAACCATGATGACAGTGCCTAAATAAATATGAACACGCAAACAAAACTCAAAACGTAAAACACGCATACAAAGATGAAGAAATCAGGAGGGGCAGCAGACAAGAAAAGGGTTCGAAGATCATCAGGGGCCGTAACTAATGCCTCCAGAGATCAGAACTCTGATACCCCTCCTAGGGTTTGTCCTATCCTTCTCTCTGATCTAGGGTTTTCCTCTTCTTTTTTTTTTTTTAAATAAAGTCATCATCTTCATGTTACGACTCGTGTAATTGAAACCATTATTGCAATTGTAGAATTTTCCTGTGCTTGATTAAATACGTATGTAAAAAATGTGACCTTCTTTTATACCCATTTGTGTTAAGGAAATCCGAATAACGTGTTCTGTTGTTATGCGGGACCTGAAAGATGCGAACTGTGGTAAGGGTCTGATTTGCATCAAGTTCGATCTTTATGCTTCTTCTTTTTTTCCGTTCCTGGAAACCCATGTCAAGAAACGCAATTTATGGTCTTTAGACTGTCATTTTTGTTAGCAAAACAAATGGAAGTTACATTGTTACTCTTGTGAGAAAACAACCCAATATACAAATTCTCAGTTACTGGTAGTGTTTTCCTCGGTAAGGACTTGATGATTATAAATTATATCTAGAGAAAAAGGATTCAATTTGGAAGTAATGGTATTTCTGGGATACTCTTAACTGTATATTTTGCTGTTCCTTGATTATTGGTTTTTTTTGGTATGAATTCTATATGTTTTTAAACAAACAAATAGGAAGGAATCTGGCATTGGTTTTAGCGATCGATGCGTGAATTCATAAAAAAATTATTTTTATCTGTAGGAACTTTATCGATTTGAGATGAAATGAACGATGTTTGTATCTTTGTCCATTGTTTTACTACTTTTATACGAACTTCCATATTGTGCTGTACTTTTATGGTCCTGTGCCTTGTGAGTGTTTAGTGGCTGTCAAGTCCTTGCAAAATTCTGGTCTTATGTTAGAAGGTGTAGCTTGCTTGTTAAAACTGCCAAGAATTGTTTTAACTAGGAATTTGCTTTTAATGTACGTTAGCCTTATAAATCATGTGAAAAAGGTTGCATGTTTTCTTAATTGTACATTTTTAGTTCATGTAACTAGTAATGGTGGTTTATACTTGTAAGTTATTGCTTGATATTCATTCATCCATATCTGGTGAATGGTTGGTGTGATTAACTTTGGTCTGGTCATTTTTATGCATAATGATGGTTTCAACTTCATTCCTTCTCTAATGTTCACTGACTTGTATGATTGTTTCTCTCTTCAGAAACAAGCTGCAAAAAAGGATGTATTTCAGTTGTTTGCTGAGAAGGTGAGAGATCACAAGGATTTGGTATCTCGTTGGGCTGTCTTACAGGAGACCCGTGTTGAATATTTTAGAGGAAAGGATTTTGTAAGCTTTCTGAAAAATCATTCAGAGGTTAAAGATATATTAGAGTCAAATAATAATTTAGAGGTTGAAGAAATTGCCAATACTTTATTAAGCAAGAACCTTCTAGTGCGTTGTGATCGTGTGGTGAAAATTGTTCGTCCCGGGAAGAAAAAGTTGTCTACCTGGCCAGCACATTTAGAGATCTTTCCTGTAAGTTGTTTCATTTTGCACTTGGATGTTTAGCATGAACTTAATTGATCTTTCAATCAATTGTCTAAACTATTGATTTTTTGACATCACTGTGCAAATTGTTAAGCATCATGCATTTAATATATCCTTGTTTATTATGAAAAGTTAATTTAAACGACTATTTTCTCTGTGATTAGGGTAATTGATTTCTTAGAGATGGGGACTTGTGCATGTTGAGGCTTAGTGGTTAAAAGAATGGATTCTCGTGGTCATCTATTACTCTCTTTCACATTTAATAAGTCTGTCATGTCAGTGGTATTTTTCCCCTTGCATTCTTCTAAGAATGGCTGTACTTTGCCCCGATACATGCTGTATCCTTTTATCATGGAGGTCAGAATGTTATGTACTTTCAATTGTCAAACTTGACCTTCATATCCTTTTTAATAGTGGGAAAATTTTGAGTTGTTGGGATCAATATGGTGAGTCGTAAGGTTGTTAATGAGAAGAATAGGGAAATTTGTGTTGCATAGAAACATTCACCCTTTAATAATGTCTCTGTCCATGTCAGTTTTGTGCCTTTTGTCTCTCTATTTTTTTTTTTGTAGTCAAAGAAATTAAGGGTTTTATTTTGTGTTGCTTCTCAAGCTCGTGTTATTAACATTATGCTGTCCTTTGTAGGATCAAGTGTTTTCAGAAAATGATGCCTTTTTTGCATGGGCGTTTGTAAAACGGAGGCCATTATGGCAAACACTTCTCTCACTTTCCTGGCCCGTGTTGACTCTTGCAATTTGCATGTTTCCTGTATACCCACATCGGTGCAAGCTATTAATCCTCTACTCTTGTGCTGGACTTCTTTTGCTAATTCTCTCACTTCTTTCATGTAAGTACTCCAGGGCTCATTTTTTGTTGCTTCATATTTTTTTCTACTGTATAATTCTTCCTGCACCTCAATGCTACTTATCAAACCCTAGTTTAGAGTTCTGCATCAGTATCATCGCACATGTGGAGCAACATTTGACCAAATTTTTATGATTAAAAATCTAGATTTCTGTTGCTAGCTTATTAATATTTTCATATTTGAAAGTTGGAAACTTCCACACATGTTGAACTCTAAAAGGTGTTTACTTGTCATTTTGGTTTCTTGGCTTGTTTCTACCTCAAACTTCCTTTGTGAGAGAAATAATTGTTCTGAATGTGTAACTAGAGAAATAATGTTATCAAACCCAGAGAACCTGCCAGGTAGGGGTGTAAATTCATACATTTACATTCTTATTAATTTTCTCAAGTAATCAGTATGTGGAGTTACTGAAAAGAGAGATCCCTTTGTGTGTGCTAGTTTCAGGACATGTGGGGGTACTCTTATTTTTGCATATCAGTAGATGCTTCTAGAAATATGGTTTCCTAGTGCTCAATGATTATGAAAAACCCATTATCCTAATGTTCTTGTAATTGCTATTTTTTCCTTTCCTTTTTATTTTTTTTGGCAAAAAACAACCTTGTAACATTTAGATTTTAGGATTGGTGGAGGATATGATTTCCACAGATGGATTTTTTACCATGTTAACAAATATAACAGCTGATGGTGATGTTACCGAGGCTATCATCTGAGTATTTATTAAGTACATCTTTCTGTTGATAAATCTCCTCTCTTATAGTCTATGCACTGTTAGCCTTTTGTTCTTTCTCTACTCTTTGAAGTTGAAACTTCTGTAGTTATACCTGGGCACAAGGGGCATGTCGTGTTAGTGATGATCCGAATGGTGTCTTTTTTCATAAAGCTCCTGTTTTGTGGCATGACCAAACTGTTTTTGTGAGGCATAAGAGGCATCATTACCTTTTGATATCTGAATGTATGATTTGGATGCTTTTTCTATGAACCTTGGGCTGAGCTTTTGTTTTTTAGTGGAAGTTGGGGCTTCTGTGGTGACTCAGGGATCAGGATTGTTCTCTCTTGATGTCAGTGTTGCAGATCATTGCAGAACATTCCCTAGCAAAACTCATCAATAAATTTCCATTATTATCAAATTTGCTTCAGTAGTCTTAAATGATTTTCATCCATATCAATCATTTTTTCAAGATCCAGGGTAATTTGGTTGATCAAGTCAGCTGTGATATGTTTGATTTAATGCTCTTTAACTGGTATGTGAGAAACCACTGGCATGATTCTTTCTCACTGAGCTCTGAGATGAAAGAAAACAATTTCCACCTAAATTTTCTTTACTTGATTTAGCGTTCTGGTGCTGCTCTATCTATGTGTAGATCACTCGCTGGTTATAACCTGGTTTCTTCTAAATTTTCTAGAGTCCTAAGTTCTTTGCATGGTTGGTTTTACATTCTTTATACTAGTCTTATGAGTGCGCATCATGGTTCATATTTTTGCATTATTCTCATTTTTTTTTTTGTAGAATATTGTCGTTTTAGTTGACAGTGATAACTATTACTAAATTATTGCTTCAACTGCTTCTAGGGGTCATTGAGGTTGTCTGTTTATTTTGCAGTGAGAGCCACAGTATTTGGTGTTCTATACCTCATTCTTGGAAAGCGTGTTTGGTTTTTCCCTAACATCCTTGCTGAAGAAGCTACTCTGGGAGAATTATTCCGTTTCTGGCCAAATAAGGATGAGGAGGAGAGGCCCAAGTGGACAACTAGACTTTTCTATGCATTAGTAGCTGTGCTCGTCATATTACTGCTAAGGCACCATGCCCCTGATGAAGCTGCTAGAGCAAGGTGAGTACACCTGTTGCAAAGTTTAGTAGACTGAAAAGGCTGCCTTTCACACTTTGCACAAAATATGATAACTTAAGGAACCAAGATGATTGTGGAAAATTTGAATTATGGTGAACTTATTTTACATTTCTCTTTCACTCGTTTCAAAACTGAGACCCCAGAGTCAATGTCTTCTTTGAGCTATCCTGTTGACATCTTGCTTTTGTGGGTGCAATGCATGTGATTTTTTTGTGCTTATAATATGATTTCACTTAGTGTCCTCAATCAGGAACTTTCTTATAGCATTCACATAAAAAATTGCCACGATGAACCCCTCTTAAATCTTTATTTCTATGCTTGAGTCTAAAGTGCAATTTTTGTCCCGCAGGTATCAGAAGCGGATGTCCAACATAATTGATGAAGTTCTTGAGTGGTCTCCAAGTCTGGCGCTGTCTGGAATGATGGAGAAGCAGCCAACCGTGGTCAATACCACGGAACCCAGCAATTTCACAGATTCCAGTAAAACAGACTCGGAGAAGGAACCTCCAGTAGATGGTGAAGGTGGAGAAACCATCTTAGAACAACATGAGGATGAGGAAACCGAGAGCATAGAGGACACTGATCAACATCAGCATCAAGATCATATATGACAGCAGATCATGTCATACCAAGCAGAAGACAGATACACTACCTTCTTTCGGGTTTCATCTTAAATTTTGAGTGTAAAACTGTGTAATCAAACAGCGAAATAAAGCAGTTTTTAATTTGTGCCATCATTAATAGTGAGAAAATAGATTATAATACTGAGTTAGGGAAATAATGTAATGTAATGAAGAGCCATTTAACTATATCTATCGTATTGGATATATGCCTTTATACATTCTCCAAAGGTGCAGCCCTTTTTTTCAGACTTGTTTCGTTAAATTCGTGCCATTATTAACTGGTGCCATCTCGAAGATTTTGTTTCTGTATTTTGATCTTCGTATCAGAATGGTCGTTGAGGGGACTCTGCATTGGATTTACGATCGTTCTTTTTTCACCTCCCAATGGATGAGTACGCAAGTGGTGTTTTTACCCCTACTTCTCCCCCTTGGATAGCTCTTTTAACTTCTAGCACTATCATGGTTCATCGGAGTCTGTGCCAACATCTCTCTCTCTGCATTCATTGCTGGGCTCACTTTAGTATTTCCGAAAGACGGATTAATCTATCTGCACGGAATTAACAGGACCGTATATGAAGCGTAAACAAATACCATGCCAACTGAATACTTCTCCAAGACGAAGGGATGCCTTGCGTTTGTTCCTGCTTTTTGGGCCCAGACAGCAAGTTGCACGCTAACAAGGAATGAACATGGCATGCACAGATATTAATCAACGTGGACTTGTCGGTACCAATGTCATGTATCTGATGGCATAGAAGAAAAAAATTACTTCGTAGAGAATAAAATGTTCTGATGTCAAGTATCTGACCAACCAAAAAGGTTGCACCGAAGAGCTTGGCCTAGCAGTGGCAGGAGCCTAGCTTCTTCCGCTGCGCATGGGTTCGAGCCCTGGCGTTGCACGTTTATCAGTCCCGCGCTGTCTTATCTGCCTGCTAGGTTTGCAGGGTATTTAGTGGGCCGTGGGAATTAGTCGTGATGCGCGCTGACTCGGACACCCCACATTAATCAAAAAAAAAATTGAGACCTCTGATTGTGGTTGTACAAGTTACGCGCATTGTAAAATCAAACCAGTGCCCCATCGAATTGCAAGTGAAAAGAAGTTGTCAAACAAGACAGTCTATACGTTAAAAAAGAGTGCTGATAGGCTACAATCTAACCAGAGACTACTTCTACTTGAGTTTCCTTGACAGTTCTATGTACACAGGAAAAAGAAGAGAGAGAGTGAGAATAATGATGCACGCGAAGCTTTGGCAGACAAAAGAAGCCAACCACGGATTCATCATCTCCTTCACCCTGTTCAAGCCACAAGCAAGAAAAAGAAAAAGCCAAGAATGATTTGCCGCCTGGCAATATATATTGCCAAGTGCGTGGTTGCCTTGTGAGAGAGAGGATTCAAGTTTCGCTACTTGCGTGCATTGGACCCTCCACCTTGGCATCCACTTAACATGCTGGGTTCAATGTGGGCCAAAAGACCTTCGTTTGGCCTGGTTCCCCAGTTGCTGGCCCGGACGGTCCTCGTCCTCATTTTCACCTGAACGGTCTCCGTCCTCATTGTCACCCAGGTACGAGCCATATGCAGAGGATTGCAAGCCACTGTGTTTTTGATAGTGGCAACCTCTATTTACATAGTCATGAGCTTCAAAAGTGTCATGCACTTGGGACTCTCTTGCTTCCTTCTGACCATCAGAGGAATTCCAAGTTTCAACAGAGTCAGAGGGCAAGAGTTCAGAACCTGATGAACTCCGTGACTGAGATGCATGGACCAGACCAGAACCATTGAGCTTGCCTTCGGATGTGTTCTTTGAAGCATCATCACCTGTTTTCTTTGCAAAACGTCCTCCAGAACTCCTTTCCCTTCTCATAGCATGCCGGTGCCGAGATTCATGAAGATATGGCTGAAGAATATAAGAGGGAGAGAGGGAGAGGGAGAATATCACTAGTTTGACAACATGTTAAATATTGCAGACAAAGCAGGAGCTAGCAACTATCTCAATCTATCACCCATAAAACATTTATAAAACATTGTACCGGGATTTCTATGGGGATTATGTACCAAAAAAGGAGAAAAATCTCATTCACTTAGAAAGAAGTACCCTTGCATGGTCATTAACAATTTAAGGAGACTAAGTGCAACATATTAGATTTTTACAGTTCTTGGTCAACAGTAATATAACCTGAAGCCTCCTCAGGACAATTCTTAAGAACTAAAATGATCGGTGGAATATAATCATGGTGCCTAACTTGACATTACTAAAGTGAGAGGTTTAACATGGAACTTGTTAACTAAATGATACAAACTGCAAGCTTAATAATTACATTGAAGCGATAAACAAGAGGAAGTTAATTAGTACATCCGGCATTATGTGTGCAATAAAAAAATATTAGCATATCATCTAACAGCAAAAGACAATCAGAGGAAAGAATGAGACAGAATATCCCAACTTGGCAGTTTGAATTTACCTTTCTATCTTTTATCAGCTTCTTGTCAACCTCCGCTTTTGCTCGTTGTTCTCTTCGCCTAATAATCCCTGGGTATTGTTTGGCATTTACAAAAACAGGATCCTGAGCCACCTCAAGGGGCAAAAGCATTCTGGCATGTGGCATTCCAACAAATTGCGGATAACCCTGACCATTGAATGATTATATCTATTCCATTAAAAGTCTATAACATTCCATGTTTTGAACACACAAAACAAATTAATTAAGCAAATACACACACACACACACACACACAGAACTCTGATTTCTGTTCACAAGCAAGTGATGAGCATATTGGTAAATAACACACACACACACACACACACAGAGAGAACTCTGATTTCTGTTCGCAAGCAAGTGATGAGCATATTGGTAAATATCCCAATAGATTGCTAGTGAATCTGACTTCCTCCTTACTTACTGCATGCAGATAATAAGCACGTCATAATTACAGTTTATGAAGGTCTCACTCCTGTCATTATCTAGAATCAGGTGAGAAGTTTGCCTCTTCTTCTTTTCCTTTTCTTTGTTAGAACATCAAATGTGTGCCACTAACAAAATTTGTCAATTGGGCAAAAATGTCATTACATCTTCACATACTTACCCAACCAAGATAGAAAGTACATTTACAACTTCCCAGAGAAAAGCAGTCCCAGCGGAATAAGTTATCCTTCCATGAGTTTTATGAATTGGAGGTCTGCAAAAGCATCCCTTTTTCTTTTAAATAATGGTAAAAGACAAACCACTGGAATAGGTCTAGACATGTTGAAGTATTCCCCGCTTGTTAATTTGTTGACAAAATGAAAAATAAAATAGGACAGGACAGGCCACAGCCTCCGAATTAAAAGAGCTAAAATTTAAGAGACATTGGAAAAAATGAGTGCACTGCTAAACTTGACCCTTTGAACTCTGGAGAACAAGCAAGGTGCACCACGAAAGAATCTTTTGGCTTTCATCTTTTGCATTTCCCACACAAATAGAACTCACATATCTCCTTTTCATCTAAATAATTCGTGAGTTAGAAATAAAAACTTATTTTTCTTACCAGGACATGGTTACTCTAGAACAATCCAGTAGACCATATCTTCCAAAACCCACAGAATGGAGATACGAAACTTTAATTTCGCTAAATGAATTCAGAATTCTTTCACCAATGGAAAGTTTAAGGTGTAAGATCTCTTGGTGATTTTGACTTGCAAAAAAAAAAAAACACCATTTTTCCAAGGACATATGAATTTTGTCTTGGGAGTAATGAATAAACAGAGAATATCACATATAAATCCACAGGTAATTCCTCAAGGTATCAAGATATGACTGCAAGAATATGGTAAGGAAGTGTTAAGCTTACATACCACAGGCTGATGATGTCCATAAGCCATCATTCCACTGTAATAAGGATCCTGGTATGGGTTTGATGCACATGCCTGCAGAAGAAATGCCAGAAAATAGAAATCTCTTCCAATGGCATGTAAAGATGGATTCTATAAATATATAGTGTCTACGGTCTACATATGAATCAATCAGCACACGAAGCTTAGAAGACAAGATATTTTGTGGATGGAAGGAATGAGAACTTACAATAGAGTGACTAACAAGCTCAAACTGTGGAGATTGTGAGAGGCCATTGTGCATTGTAGTCATACTAGACACAAGACCCTGAAGATTTTGCAAATGTCCATGATTCCCTAATAAGCATTAATGGAAAAAAAAAAATGCCTAATTAGCACTGAACCAGTATGCTGTGTCTTTCCTTGTGAACAAGGAACTGTGCATTGCTGCGCTGTGTCTTTCCTTGTGAACAAGGAACTGTGCATGGACAGAACAAGGCCAAATGAATACATTTGCGCTCACAAAGGAAGTATTACTCTTCATCCAAAATGTGATACCCGTGGCCTATGCTACATGAAAAGGTCAAATTTAGCATCGATAGAAACTAGATAGCACCTATATAGTTGATTTACAGACATGGAGAACAGCTGAGTTTCATCTACCATGTTGAAAGAAGCACGATTTAAAAAAAAAATGATGTCAAAACTTGTAAATCTAAAGTGATAAAAGCTGAGCCACGGAGGCATGGCAAAAAATAATGAGTTGAGAAATGTCAGAACGAAGCAATTACTAAAATATTAAGCATAGAGTTTATGCAATAGCAAATAGTCCTAATCCACTTTGTGCAAGAAAGTAGTTAGCAGCACCTAATTGGGATGATGCAGTGGCTTGGGAATCTTTGATCGCATCAGCATCTTCCTCATTCAGTCTACCACTCGACAGAGACTGATCATCATTTGATTCAGAACCATTATGTCCTTCTGAGTTGGATATATTTCCACCGGTCATGGCAGGAGGCATGGAGCTATAACCTATATTGCGCCACCAAGGTTCAGAGTGAACTGTATACTGTTGAGTGCCACTCTGATTGGGTTCTGGCACAATAGTTTTTTCAGGCTTTGACTGCATACCTTCAAAAAGTTATTTTATTAGTTCTCGCTTTCCTAACCAGGCACAGGAAGAATCTAATGGTAGCAGGTGAAATTCATATAGTAAACGTGCTACGTGAAACAAAACTTGAAAAAAAAAAGGCATATTACAAGCAAATATGACAGGGATGCTCAAGAAGAGAAGATTGGAGGATAGATACTTTGCAGATGGTCATTCTACGCGGGAACACATTCACTGTCTACGTAAAAGCACGAATAGAGAAAAATAAAGAAGCAATTTGCCTTGCCTTAAAAAAGAAGCGATAAAATATCAGACTCTATTTCAATACTAAACTTCTGGATGAAGCAGGACCAATAACATGGACGTGAAGAGCTTTCGTCATCAAACTCAAAACACAGAATGATCTGGCTGATTTGCTTCATCCTCAAGCCACAATATTAATATTATTAATTAAAGATTCACCCGTCAAAAGTGATAAAACCACGGCACCACGAGGGAAAAAACAATAGACTGATAAGGTAGATTTCTTAATTGGTATTTCAACATATCAATTGAGTTAAAACACATTTTCCATACATATAATAAAAAAATGTTTAAATACCGATAAAACCAAGTTTTTCCCTCTCATCAAAAATCAATTAGCTTAATCAGAACCTCTACCTGGCCAAAAAGCGTTTCAATATTAACCTAAAAAGTGCACAAACTTTTAGTTCTACTACATTTCTCAAGGATAATAACCAGCACCGGTATCTATCTCAATTTCTCAGCCGTTGAACCAGAAACCCCAAACTTTCTTAGCAACCAAACAAGAAGAAACCCGAATAAGGATTTTCCTAAAAAAAAATCAAGCAAATGGAATTCAAGAGAGAAAATCAGTTAAATTCAAGAAACGAACCGTGCAACTAACTAACTGTACAGTCAATAATTAAAAAGAAGAAGTCTAAAATAAGCAACTGATAAAGATACTTACCGGTGTAGACCGAGATAAAACAGAACCCTAGATATTGGGGGTTTTAATCTACTCGGGATAGAGGGAGAAATAGAGTCTGTTGCTGTTGAAGCAGAAGTAGTATATAACTATAGTTCTTCTAGAAGAACAGAACTCAAAGAAGGGAGAAGGGGTTTTTTCTCTCTTTATTTCTTCTTCATTTTTTTTTTCCCAACTTGACCTCTCTGTGTTTTTTTTGCAAGAGACGATACGATAGCTCAGCTGGCCCTGGATGGGTCATGATATGCTCACCCTCCTTCTTTCCACGTTGCCTCTTTTTCTGGGACACCTGCCCCGACCTTTCTCCTGCCAACTTCTCCCTCCGTTTTTTCAGTTTTTTTGTCTCTTTCTTCTTCTCATGAACTCTCTCTTTTTATGAATTTTTTTTTTATATGCAACCATTTTTTTATTTTTTTTGGTCATTTTCAAGTAGACTTTTGTACGTGGTTAATGGTGGCCAGGTATTGCCACTTGCTTACTGGAATGTGTGTTAGATATAAATTTTTTTGAACCAAACCAATTAGGTTTATTTTTTTTAATGCTCGTTTTTTGTTTTCAAGCGGGTTTTTTTGGGCTAGGTGTGTGCTTGTGCATTTATTTTTTATATAAAAAGTGATGTTCATGTATCACATATGTATTTTAAAAAATTAAAAAAAAAAACCTCACATCTAGAGTTAGAGTTAGAGACCTAATCTTGAGTTAGAATAGAAGCACCGTGTTTGGGAAAAGCATATTAAATATTTAGAGATGAAATTAAAAATAAAATTTTAATTACACAAAGAATCCAAAATTTAAAAAAAAATATCAATGAAAAGAATAAAAATTAAAATTAACATACAAAATAAATGTTATTTTTTATTGAAAGTTCAATTCAAAAGGAAAGATCAATTTAACAAAAGGACCAAAAAAATAAAAAATAAGAATCAACATTAAAATAGAAAAATAAAACCAATTTTTTTATATTATAGAATAAAATTGAGAAAAATAATAAATTTATCTAGAAAACAGAGATTAAATTAAAAAAACAATACATCACAAACTAGGACCGAAGTATGCTATTGAAAACAACTCGAAATTTTATGAAAAAGTCACAAGCAAAAATTAAAAGATCAATAAAATAAAAACCAAAGTGAAAATTCTTATAAATTAGAATATAACTCTAAAAATTTACATGGCCAACACAAGTTTCAGGGGATGAGATAGATAAAAGGTGAAAGAAAATGTCATAAACAATGACATTTCAAAAACAAAAGAGAATAAAATAATATTTTTATTGACACGATTAAAAAAAAATTGTGAAAGCAAAAGGAAGCTCACAAGTTGCCTAAAAGGTGTAGGACATGTTGTTTTATACATTGCACATGTCAATTATTTTTTTATTTTTATTGTTCTTTATTTTTTATATAAAAAGTGATGTTCATATGTCACATATGTATTTTAAAAAATTTTAAAAAAAACCTCACAAGTTAGAGACCTAATCTTGAGTTAAAATAGAAGCACCGTGTTTGGGAAAAGCATATTAAATATTTAGAGATGAAATTAAAAATAAAATTTTAATTACACAAAGAATCCAAAATTTAAAAAAAAATATCAATGAAAAGAATAAAAATTAAAATTAACATACAAAATAAATGTTATTTTTTATTGAAAGTTCAATTCAAAAGGAAAGATCAATTTAACAAAAGGACCAAAAAAATAAAAAATAAGAATCAACATTAAAATAGAAAAATAAAACCAATTTTTTTATATTATAGAATGAAATTGAAAAAAATAATAAATTTATATAGAAAACAATCAAGATAATAGAAATTAAATTAAAAAACAATACATCACAAACTAGGACCGAAGTATGCTATTGAAAACAACTCGAAATTTTATGAAAAAGTCACAAGCAAAAATTAAAAGATCAATAAAATAAAAACCAAAGTGAAAATTCTTATAAATTAGAATATAACTCTAAAAATTTACATGGCCAACACAAGTTTCAGGGGATGAGATAGATAAAAGGTGAAAGAAAATGTCATAAACAATGACATTTCAAAAAAAAAAAAGAATAAAGTGACGCTTTCATTGACACGATTAAAAAAAAGTTGTGGAAAGCAAAAAGAAGCTCACAAATTGCATACATTGCACACGTCAATTGTTTTTTTATTTTTATTGTTGTTTATATTATTTAAATACCAATTTGTTACCCAAATGATATAATAATAACAATAACAAAAAAATTATTGTGAAAATACAAAAAAAAACACATTAAGTGTCAATTTTAATATATATTTTTAATAATATTTTGATCATTTTACTATATTTTTATAATGAAAAAAACTTATTTTTTCTTTAATTGATTTTTAAATAACTAATAATCATTTTGAAAATACCTGAATTCCATCATAGTCACTTTTAAGATTTTTTTGCTTGGAGAGCAAAGTCACCGTTGCACCCTCTAGTGAACGTTGTTTTTTTAAAGCGGGTGAGTTTAGTACGTTTAGGTGTTGCACTAGTTTAATTTCATGCAGTACGTTTTAGGTTAGATATATTTTAAAAAAATATAAAAAATTATACAGATTACAAGAAAACTGTTTAATATTGATATTAAAATTATCCAATCTTTCCATTCAATTTTTTGCCTAACCCATATTTAAAATTAAATAGTATTTTAGTTAGTTTAATATGATGTAATTAACTTAGCTAGTTTAAAATTAACTTGAATAATTAATAAAAAAATAATTTGACTTTAAAAAAATTAGCCCTGACATTTTTTTTTTAACATTAAGATAATATTATATTGGATTGTGAGTTTACTTACTAAACTTACGACCTGAATCATGAACGTCATTAGATTTAATAATATTTTTTAATTAATTTTTATTTAATTATATAATAATAAATTGAAACATATTATGATAATAAAATGTTTAATTATTTTAATTATTTAATTATATAATAATAAAATCAGATACTTATAAAAACGAGCACTAGAAAAATATTATGATGTTTATTTGAAATTACAATAATCTTATATTAAATAAATTGAAACAAATCATAAAAACCAATTAAAAATCAATAAAACATTTAAAGAGAAAATTGGAATAAAATCAATAAAAACCCAACATTAAAAAATTAAATTGAAAAAAAAATTTAAAAACAATCCAATTACATTAGTCTAAATGACTTAACACACCTGGAGGTTTAAATAAAGCATAGACGTACAAGCCCGGGGCATGCTCACTCTCCCTACCCATTCATATTTTTTATATATATTTTAAATTTTTTATTTATCTGCCTTAATTACTTTAAAAATATATATATAAACAACGCGTTGCATGTTATGACAAGTGACTCTTCACGTATTATTATCCATGAATAGAGGTGATTCTAAAATTTTATTTTTTTAATTTATTTTTATTTAAAAAATTATAAAACCATCAAACCCCACTAAAATCACTTAAAAAAGAAGAGAAATTAAATGAAGTTAAAAATCCAAATCAGACCTGATTTGTCATTGCTACTATTTTTAGAGGGAAAAACTACATCAAATGAACTCCTCCTGATAAAATGAGTTTATAGGAAGAAAATTTTCTTTTTTGGTAATCAAATTGTGGACAGCTGACAACTCTTTCTTTTCTTGTTGTTATCTAATAAGTTTTTTCTTCTTCTCTCTTTAATTTAGAGATTATAAAATAAATAAAATAAACTTGTAAATCAAAATTAAATTTGACATGAATTCTAGAGTGGCAATGTATTTTTTTGTGTTTTATACGAGTTCTCTTTCTTTAAATATCTTGTTTTCAATAGAATTTAAAATTTAATTTTATCCAGTTAAGTAATAAAAAAATCCAGTAAAAAATGTAAAAAAAAAGGGATAAAAAATAAACAATAAAAAATGCATATTTTAAAAATAAAAAGAGAAAATCTATTGTTCACATGAATACGGAAGTCCCCTGACAAAAACCAATTGTTTTTTTTTTCTAACATAGACAAAGTAGTAAGGATTGATATTATTAATATTGTTGTGAATACTATTAATATTTTGTCTGATAGTGTCATTAGATTTGGTGATGACTATAATTATATAATAATGACTATAATTGTAGTAATAAGTACCATTATTTTTTAATAAAAAAACAAAGTGTGAAACCAATTTAGAAGTAAAAAACTCCTATTATCAACTCTTCAATAAACAACTTTCAAAACACCTTGAACGCACATTCTTGACTTTGTAAAATATTTTTTGTCTGGCTTTTCAATATTTTTTTCTCACGAGTCCTTAATTTCCAAACTCTCACGGCCTGCATTAATTTTTCCTTCACGACCCGAAATTATATTTATGCTTGCCTTGATCTTAAAGGAGAGGGAAACAAACTTACAGGTGAAATCCTTGCTATCTTTTAATTGATGAATAAAATAGTTTTGTGTTAATACGATTAAAGCCCGTTAAAACAAGATGGAAAATCAATGATTTTATCACCAAAGCCTACCCCAGAGGTGTAGTTTAGACGGTTAATTAATATTTTTTCATATTATAGCATACTCATATGTTTGGGTTTAGTAGTATACTAAACCTAAATATATATAAGCTTAGCGAATTATTAGATCTGATATCTCTAAAGCAGTTATAAGCTGAACCCAAATAAATATAGGTTTAATAAATTGACAAACCTAACATTTTTATGTTTAACTACACACTGAGTCCAAGTGCATATAAGTTTGGCGAATTATCATACCTAACATCCTTAAATTCACTTGCACGCTAAGTCCAAATAAAATATCATATATAACATTATTAAATTTAGCTAAATGTTAAGGTTAAATACATATGAGTCTGATGAGCTGCTAGACCTAATATTTTTTTATCTAACTACATGGTAAACCCAAACGGACATGAGTTTGGTTTAAACCCACCATCCCTAAGTTTATTTATGTGCTGAACTTAAACAGATACGGGTATAACAAGTTATCATAGCCGATGCCAGTAAACTTGGTATCGTGCTTGGTCCACCGTTATATGCCGATGAGATTTCGTTTGTTTTTTTTTCATGACTTTTAACATAAAATGTCAATGTTATAAATAATTATCTTTCTACGTCTTTGGATGTATACAAGTATTTTAAGAGCCGACTAAATCTTTATTAATATTAAAATTGTGTAATAAATATTTATCTCTTGTTAATATAGTATAAGAGATTTTTATCTCTTATTGAATGTTGCGTGAGAGATATTTATTTCTTATTACTGTTAACACGAGAAAATAACTCTCTAACAACATCTTTTTATCGATATACTGGGTTCAATTACTATAAATACCTCATGAGCTATCTAAATATAAAATTAATAATTTTATTTTTTA